ATCGTCATGGCTTGGCACTTTCCCGACAATTCCCTTCCCCTTCTCCCGTCACAACATTCCCAGCTTCTTACAACACTTTTTCATCACACTGAAAAAAAAACACGTTCAAGCTCGAGTGAACTTACGCGTCTAATACAGGTAATATACAACACATGTTCGACTTAATATATATTAGTGAAAATGCAATATATTCCAATACATATTTATTTTCGAGGTTCGACCACCCTCACAAGAACAAAATGAACCACTGAAAAAATTTAAAATATCCGGGAATTTATGTATACCAGGTTAAGAACAAGATGTAACGAGCAGGGGGGGGAGGAGTAACGAGCAGGGGGGGAGGAGTAACGAGCAGGGGGGGAGGAGTAACGAGCAGGGGGGGGGGGAGAAGGGTGAAGTAACGAGCAGGGGGGGAGGAGTAACGAGCAGGGGGGGAGGAGTAACGAGCAGGGGGGGAGGAGTAACGAGCAGGGGGGGAGGAGTAACGAGCAGGGGGGGAGGAGTAACGAGCAGGGGGGGAGGAGTAACGAGCAGGGGGGGGGAGGAGTAACGAGCAGGGGGGGGAGGAGTAACGAGCAGGGGGGGGAGGAGGGTGAAGTAACGAGCAGGGGGGGAGGAGTAACGAGCAGGGGGGGAGGAGTAACGAGCAGGGGGGGAGGAGTAACGAGCAGGGGGGGAGGAGTAACGAGCAGGGGGGGAGGAGTAACGAGCAGGGGGGGGAGGAGTAACGAGCAGGGGGGGAGGAGTAACGAGCAGGGGGGGGAGAAGGGTGAAGTAACGAGCAGGGGGGGGAGGAGTAACGAGCAGGGGGGAGGAGTAACGAGCAGGGGGGGAGGAGTAACGAGCAGGGGGGGGAGGAGTAACGAGCAGGGGGGGGAGGAGTAACGAGCAGGGGGGAGGAGTAACGAGCAGGGGGGGAGGAGTAACGAGCAGGGGGGGAGGAGTAACGAGCAGGGGGGGAGGAGTAACGAGCAGGGGGGGAGGAGTAACGAGCAGGGGGGGGGAGGAGGGTGAAGTAACGAGCAGGGGGGGAGGAGTAACGAGCAGGGGGGAGGAGTAACGAGCAGGGGGGGAGGAGTAACGAGCAGGGGGGGAGGAGTAACGAGCAGGGGGGGAGGAGTAACGAGCAGGGGGGGAGGAGTAACGAGCAGGGGGGGGAGGAGTAACGAGCAGGGGGGGAGGAGTAACGAGCAGGGGGGGAGGAGTAACGAGCAGGGGGGGGGGAGGAGTAACGAGCAGGGGGGGAGGAGTAACGAGCAGGGGGGGAGGAGTAACGAGCAGGGGGGGAGGAGTAACGAGCAGGGGGGCGGGTTGAGACACGAAAAGAGTGACTCGTGTAGCAGGTGCAGAGTATCTACCATGAGGCCCCAAAGACGCTAGAAAACAAATGTACAGGGGATACAGGGTACAAATGTTTATACAAAGAAAACCCAGTACAAACCACAAGGTACCCCCCCCCCCCACACTGAGAACACGCAGGAACAAGGCAGGCGAGCCGCAAGCCCTGCGAGGCCTTCACAAGAGGCAACATATTGGATCGCAGTGTGCTAGTGGCAGTATGATTAATCTGGTGATTGTGTGCCAGGACGAGGGTGGAGCATACCCCCAGCAGGAGTGGATTCACCGACATGGAAACCGCGGCTCGACATGGAAACTTGGCACGTGGTATGTGGGATGGCCGGCCGCTTCCCAAAGATTCAAGACTGGTAAGCACAAAAAACTAAATAAACCATCAGGCGACGGTGTAAGACGACAAGAACCGGTTCATGTGACTACGCAAAAAGTGGGAAAAGAGAGAATAAGTCGAGACGAGGTAATGAAAAATCATCGAGCGCGGGGACCCTTTTTTTCCCCAACTTTAATAATACGTTGTTGTCAGGATGGATGGATGGGGGGGGGGTGAGGGGAGCACTGGCCGGGTCTTTGGACAAAGGTGAACTAGTACCAGCGACGGAGGACAACCTGGCATTTCTAAAGAGATACTTTTAATGGCCGCATATGAAACTACTATTAACTGCTCGGGTTCTTATGAACAATCCGGAAATCCCAAATTAACATCAATGTGTTATGTGGGTGGTGGGAGGAGCGGCTTGCCTTGGAAGCCAGCCAGTCGTCAATAGTGGGCGTCACATCTATGCAGGTCACTACAGACCGCTGGCAGCGTGCCATAGGTCACTACAGACCGCTGGCAGCGTGCCATAGGTCACTATAGACCGCTGGCAGCGTGCCACAGGTCACTATAGACCGCTGGCAGCGTGCCACAGGTCACTATAGACCGCTGGCAGCGTGCCACAGGTCACTATAGACCGCTGGCAGCGTGCCATAGGTCACTACAGACCGCTGGCAGCGTGCCATAGGTCACTATAGACCGCTGGCAGCGTGCCATAGGTCACTATAGACCGCTGGCAGCGTGCCACAGGTCACTATAGACCGCTGGCAGCGTGCTCCATACATCCTGCTTGACAATGCCAGTCATGACGGTCTGTGTGACGAAGGAGAAATTACAGGTACAAAAACAAGCGCTTTATAATAAAATTCAGAGAAATGTAGACAAATTATGTAACACCGAAGCTTTGTTGATCATAAATCAACTTGACAAAATATTAACCCCGGTTACTTTACCTTTATGGTTTGACTGTTAATTCAAGACTCGCTTATTCTGACAGTTACTGTAGATGCCATTTGTTTACATATCATAATTTAGTCATAGTTGTCATCTGGACCTATTTCACTACAGGAAATTTCAATTTTTTTTTGTATTAATACATTTAGCTACATCTGCATTTGTGCAGCTACCCTAGACTGTATGAGACAGTACAGCGCGTGTCAAAAATACTAGCTACGTGATGACTACAATCCCCCATCACCAGGATGGTTAGTCATACAGAGGCATGTGATCAGTAGTCTGCACTGGCAAATTTTGGCTGTATATGAGGATATCACCATGAACACGAGTGAATCAAGTAATTGCAAAGCTCCAGGTACCTCATGCCAATGAGTCTGAATGATCTAATAACTGGCCATTCGGTGATGTGTGCAAAATGATGATGAAGTTACGAAATTGAATGTACAGTATATAAAAAGTCTAAGGTAACTACTCCCCGCATTTAACTTACTAATCCCAACACCAGTGAGCACCAAGATGGTTCACCACGCCACGGAAGCTAATTCTTGTTGTTAGTTTAAGAATAATTAAGGCATCCAGAAGAACAAAAACAGAATAGTTTAAACATGAGGAGCATAACTAGCCTACTTCTCACGGTGTCCAAAAGAGAAATTAATAAATCCATTTAAAGGATAACTGATCAACAGGACTGTGATTCATGTATCGAGCTGCGAGTAGCTGCGCCTAACAGTCTGTTTGATCCGATCACCAATCAGAAGGCCTGCTTAGAGACCGGCCCGAGGGCATGTTGATAGCCGGAACCAACGCAAGATGGTGGTTTCGGCTGTGAACATCCCCGATTGGATATAAATTTAATGTTAGTAACCATACTAGACATTACATTGATATTAAACCTCACCTATCCATATACACATCTAACCTACGTCCCCAACACGTCATCGGCAACAGGTCTCACTAGCCTGTAAGGTCTTCCGTAACTCCACAACAATTTAAAACAAACATTAACCAAATTCTTTTCGGGAGAAAAAATCGCATCCAATATGCATTCGCTGTTATGTTCAATTTTGTCTATATATTCGGCAGCCTATTCATAAACCCATATTACACCCATTTTATATATTTATATACTTCTATCATGTCACCCTATAGTATTTGTCTCGTTCTCTCTTCATATAGGATTCCTAATGCCTGGAATTACATTTTCACCATTAGACCAGCTTATATGTATAAAAATTTATTATTATTAACATCTTTATTGACAAAATTAATTACAATTTTGACTAATCTGAGGATTTCGATTGTCTTATTAAAGTGAGGATAATGTTGGTATTCACTGTCACGCAGGACAGAGGGTCATACATAAGGCAATAGGTCTAAACTGTAGGCGGACGTACATATATATCACGGTTACAATCAATGTTTTAATGTATGGATATGTGAAAAAAAACTTTCTATTGTGCACTGCCACACAAATTGATGGCTTCATTCTGCAGGAGACGAACACCCATGAGCCAACCTGTCCTCAGGCCAGGCTCGTTAGAGCGGCAGCCATCAACAAAGACAGAATCATTAATTTTAATGTAGTGTAATAATAGTAGGGTTGTTCTTGATCATATTTTAATATTATACATGAAAATTCTATGTATATCTCGGCGTAGGTTTGGTATTTGGGTTCTGTTAGCGATTATTTGTATTTGTAGTACGTGGGTGAAGCATTTACAGATTAGCGATTCGAGGAGAGGTGATGAGCGAAGTACTTTTCGAAAACAGTACATGCATCATCATCAGTTGTTTGTAAACATAATTTTTTCCATAAACATGGGGTTCGGTGGCTGGATTAACAAACATTTGGTCTTTGCTGATGAGGACGGGCTGCATGAGTGGACACACGAGGCTCAAGCAACGTACCGATGGGCGCACGGTTCATACCAGTCATTAAATTAAACCCGTGCGTCGTTCCCAGCCTGGGCTGGGAATAGGTGAGAACATTTTAGGCAAAGTTCCTAACTCTATTTCCCCCCCCAAGCACCAGACAGTGCTTGGGGACCTGGAAGTAAATCGATTTGCGGATCGTGTTGCGAGAATAATGGTGTGGGAGTGCGGGTGGGGAAGCGGCCAGTCTCCCAGAGTAAACCCTGGTAAATATCTAGTAATGAATTTTGCGATATGGGAAACGAGGAAAAAATGGAAAATAAAGAATAAGATGGAGGCAGTTGCGGGAGTTCGAAAAGGAGAATTTTGGCTTGGGCATTACATCGGAGGCACGAAGAATATCACCACCACATGCTAAACATACTTACTACATTTAGAAACTTAAACAGGCTTGAATTTCTAAGTTCAGAACATACCATGCAGCTTATGTCAGTTCTTGAATATGCAGTACTCGCTGCAGGATGCGATTACCGAGCAGTATGCGCTCCAGGATGCGAGTACTGAGCAGTATGCGCTCCAGGATGCGAGTACTGAGCAGCACTCCGTGCAGGATGCGAGTACTGAGCAGCACTCCGTGCAGGATGCGAGTACTGAGCAGCACTCCGTGCAGGATGCGAGTACTGAGCAGCACTCCGTGCAGGATGCGAGTACTGAGCAGCACTCCGTGCAGGATGCGAGTACTGAGCAGCACTCCGTGCAGGATGCGAGTACTGAGCAGCACTCCGTGCAGGATGCGAGTACTGAGCAGCACTCCGTGCAGGATGCGAGTACTGAGCAGCACTCCGTGCAGGATGCGAGTACTGAGCAGCACTCCGTGCAGGATGCGAGTACTGAGCAGCACTCCGTGCAGGATGCGAGTACTGAGCAGCACTCCGTGCAGGATGCGAGTACTGAGCAGCACTCCGTGCAGGATGCGAGTACTGAGCAGCACTCCGTGCAGGATGCGAGTACTGAGCAGCACTCCGTGCAGGATGCGAGTACTGAGCAGCACTCCGTGCAGGATGCGAGTACTGAGCAGCACTCGGGACGGGACAGCACAAGTAACTTGAATATTATGATGGCATCCCAGGACATGAAGGTTCTCATACCCCATCCCATCATTTTCGTGGCTGACGCTATATTCGTTCTGTTACACTCACTAAAAGTTAGGTCGTCTGACCAAAAACTTCAGGGATATTTCAGAGTTAACATCATTGTTCGCGAAGACTTAATACTATGAAACAAGATAAATACATTAGCCAAGTGTGATTATTCATATGTTTTTAATTTTGCTATTTTGGACATAGCAAATTCAATGTTTGTTTGCAGGTCTAAACACAGAGTGGCGGAGTATGAGAGTTGTGGCCTTCGTCAGGCAGCTGGTCGCCACAGTGACTCTCGGTCCCATAAATTAACAAGTTCCATGTTGCCCCAACCCCTCCACACCCCTACCAGGTTCCTTTTCCTCCTTCACGTCGTCTGCTACGAAACAGTACAGCTACGTAAAAGAACTCGACTCCGACACTTCCCAACTCTCCTTTCGAAGGTCTGCAGTACCCTATGCTCTCAGCTGCCTCGGCCCGTCGGACAGCCCGTACCCACAAACAATCCTCTGCTATCTCCATTTCAGACACAGATCCACGCTTTTCCTCATCCCAAACTGCACCGCCCACGCCCACCCCCACGCCCTAACAGCATCCCCCTTAGCTTAATTCCCCTCCCCTGCCAACTATTTCCGTCCTACCTTCCCCTCGTCCACATTAAAACTTGTGGGGATCTGCCACACAAGAGAACCAAACATTCACAGAGCAGAACATGTTTTTCCTGCTCTTCTGAAGAGAGGCTCCAACAGGCAAAGCCCCGAGGTTTTTCCTCTTAGTTTGCTCCGTCCGCACAGCCCCAACCTGGCTTGGCTTGCCAAGCACCATCGGCAAGCTCTATGTAGAACTACAGTCATCCAGTCGCCACTCTCCTCAACATCCATATCCCATATTAGGGTAATATGAGTTGACCCAGGTGTTAGCGACGACTGTGAGTACAAGTGGAGCTGAATAGGGGTCCCTTCAAGAGACACGTTAACGAGGACGAGGGATTACAGATGCGAGGACTTCAGGATGGTAAAAAATAAAAAATAAAGACCACTCCATGAGTGGGATGAGCCACAGAACAGCTAATCCCACTCATGCGAGATGGACGAGAAAAAACAAGTTTTTTCTCGTCCTTGTAAATGTTACAAGTAAACATTTAATGAAATGTTTACTTGTAAGTAAACATTTCGTTAAATAGTCAATACAGGGACAGAAGTTCAAGACCAAAATAGAATGGAAAATTTAACTTGCAACAGTAGCGCACACTCCAGGGCGTTACTATGGCGTCGTCAGCCTCCACCGGTGTTAGAAAGTCAATGGATTTGAGAAATAAAAAAAAACTCTTGAAGATTAGCATTAGACCATTGACCGTACTATATATATATGCAGCAAAGAACGAGCGAGGTTGTTCCTGCTGGCCCCTCATGTGTGATGTGCCCTGCAGGCCCCCATGTATGATGTGCCCTGCAGGCCCCCATGTATGATGTGCCCTGCAGGCCCCCATGTATGATGTGCCCTGCAGGCCCCCATGTATGATGTGGCCTGCAGGCCCCACGTATGATGTGGCCTGCAGGTCACGTATGATGTGCGTTGGTAGGCTGAACTTGCCGATGTAGCTTACGTGTAAGTTTACATTGTGACAGCCAAACGAGTCATCTTTATCATCGCGGTAGTTGCAAGAGGGCAAGGAACAGAGGGGGAGGAAATTAGGGACTGCGGGAGAGTCAAGATTTTAACATGAGCGATAAGACAAAGAGCTTAATAGCAAATAAATGGAATGGATGGGAAAGTAAACATGTGGACGATGAAAATAACAGAGACCAAGGGAGGAGAGCGCTAAGTAACAGGAGAGGAGTGATGAGAAATAGTGAGATATAAAGTAAAGCTAACGAAGAACAAAAAATTATCGACTAAAATATTCAGGTACAGTTACAAATATTCCTCTAGCCTTTGTGTTAGGCTTACAAGGACTTACCTGGTTGATGGGGTTCTGGGAGTTCTTCTACTCCCCAAGCCCGGCCCGAGGCCAGGCTCGACTTGTGAGAGCTTGGTCCACCAGGCTGTTGCTTGGAGCGGCCCACAGGCCCACATACCCACCACAGCCCGGCTGATCTGGAACTTCTCTTAGAAAACCGTCCAGTTTTCTCTTGCAGATGTCCTCTTGAAGACTTGACCGTTTCAACAGTCTTCCATTCGTATTTTCACATCGTCAGAGAAATAACGCAAACTTGAGGATAAAACGAGACACTAAACACACTCAATTGAAGCCGGACGAAGATCACGAGGATAAACAGTACAATTATGAGTAGGGTGAAGATTTTAAGTTGTCAAGTCAACCATAAATGGAAACAAATGAATGGAACAAAACGATAAATAAATCTTAAGAGCTGGTGGTGAAGGATGGCGCCACGGGCCTCACGGACACCAACAATCTTCCCCAATTCCTGAAAATCAAATTTCCTCCCGGCGACAGGCCGGATGAAGCAACAGTTGAGACAGCAGCAGAGGACCAAACTCGGTAATTACCCTCCGGTATTAGCTTACCTCGCCATCATGCAGAGCTAATGCCAGGTAAATACCCTGAACAAACTCCCACAACATGTGTCCCACTCCAACCACCACGAAAACGCTCCACAGTAATATTATTGCACGTTCCAGTTGGACGACCACGGTGGGCAAGTTTAGACAACCTGTTACTGGCGATTACCGGTAAAGAACTTAACTTAAAGAACCGGTAAGGAAGCAGCTGCTTACTTGCAGCAGCTGCTGACCCACCAAACTAGGCGGTTGCCTCAGCTAAGTTCTCATACCACGCTCAAGAGCTCTTTATGAAAACAAACTGGTGCGCCATCTTTCCACATTGCTTTTTACTGCATGGCTCTTTTGTTGGTTGGTTGTGCGCGCGCGCACAGTACATTACATTACACACAGGCTGCTCACTGACAAAGTATTAATAACTTGGCATCCTCATTCTTCGCCCCATATATTTGATTCCAAAGCAGCAGCAGCTTAACCCATAACCCGATTTGTGTTTCTCTCAGAATACCATCCATAAACCGAGTCCCTTTAAAACATCAACTACTACTAGTTTAAATCATCACACGACTAGTTTACCTCCAGAACATTCATAGTTCATGACAAATCATACCAGATATAACTGAGCCACATGTACAAGTCTAATACGGAATATGGAACTTGGATACGGAACTTGAAATACTTGGATATGGAACTTGAATACGGAACTCCGCTCTAATACGGAACTTGGCATCATGTGATGAAGGTGTTACACACACTACTATTCTTCTCTGAGCACACAGCAGCCAATGTGTCCACGAACGCATGCTGACGGCAGCCATGGACCAGGCCTAAGTCAGCAGCCATGGACCAGGCCTAAGTCAGCAGCCATGGACCAGGCCTAAGTCAGCAGCCATGGACCAGGCCTAAGTCAGCAGCCATGGACCAGGCCTAAGTCAGCAGCCATGGACCAGGCCTAAGTCAGCAGCCATGGACCAGGCCTAAGTCAGCAGCCATGGACCAGGCCTAAGTCAGCAGCCATGGACCAGGCCTAAGTCAGCAGCCATGGACCAGGCCTAAGTCAGCAGCCATGGACCAGGCCTAAGTCAGCAGCCATGGACCAGGCCTAAGTCAGCAGCCATGGACCAGGCCTAAGTCAGCAGCCAATGACCAGGCCTAAGTCAGCAGCCATGGACCAGGCCTAAGTCAGCAGCCATGGACCAGGCCTAAGATCAAAGTTGTCACACTAATCCACAAACGTGGAGGCCTACGACGCTGGACAACGCCTGGCAGTGGGCAACAATCCACGCACAGTTCCGGCAACAACATGCAACAGGATCTTCCTAAGTCTTCAACATTCAAGTCTGGTCTGAGAGCACAACTCTAAACCTCTGCTATTTACAACAAAAAGTCGGAGACAAGACGAAGAGAAGAGTGAGTGGGCTTGGAGAGAGCGGGAGTTGAGAGAGAGAGGAAAAGAATGAGTCAAGGAGTGCTAAGTGGGCCTCACTGAAGCCAATAACTGGGAGATGGGGAGTGACGGGGTCTCACGAACAGGGACAACCGCTCAACAAAAACCCAATGCGGAGGAGAGGAAGGGTTAGCTGGCACGACTCCAAGTCTTGAGACGAGAGGGGCGGCTGCTGCTGCTGCTGCTGCTGCTAATATTGCTGCTGCTGCTGCTGCTGCTGCTGCTACTGCTGCTGCTGCTCCTGCTGCTGTTGCTAATGTTGCTGCAGTGGTCAAGACATGAGGCACTATGGCTCTATGGCGGACCTTGGACCCCACCCACGATATATAGCAGGAGAGAGCAAGTCTTGCGTCTCTCAATGTTCAATACTCCCACCCATACGTACATGTACACACTCGCCCCACACCTAAACACGCTAGTAATAATAAATCGCCAGTAAAGCAAACTTAAATCATCGTGGATGTGAGCTAAGACGGAAAAGCAATTAACTCAATCTGCAGTAGTTGAGTGCGGAGGGTCTGGTGGCTGCCCTCGTTAACAGCGTCTGCATATTTTACAGGAGATTGTCTGCTACGGGCTCACCATAGCCCGTGCTACATGGACACTTCGTTCTGAGTAGCTGAATCTAAAACAACAACATTTGCAGGAGAGGCGAGGCCGCCACTGCGTGCTATGACAAACCCCAAGTCACTGAGCGCAACACTAACAAGCTGGTCGCTCAAAATCTCTCAATGACATTTTCAAACAAGCACACATTCAAATATATTCAGTTATTTGTTGCATGAGCACACCCATACGCGCGCGCGCACTCACCACACCAACCCAGTCTCTTGACCACAATTAAATTAGCTGAATACCTTCATTAAAGCAATGAGACGAACATTACCACTGAGCATTTCCAGAGCTGACAGCTGACGTGAACCCCCCTCCTCCCCACCGACGCCAGCCGCGTCCGCCCCCCCCCCTCTCTCCCTCTCTCTCCCCCCCCTCTGGCGGTCGCATGCGGCCTCCACCCGCCAATAATAAAGGCCTCCCCACCAACCCTACTCATCAGTGCCGCTCTTCTCGCTCAATTCCAGCAGACTGCGCACACTATTTTACCTTTAATATTTTAATATTAACTTTATCCAGTCATTATACTCTCAAGCCACAGTTTCCTGCGTCCGG